TGGGAGAGTGTTTATTTTTTATTTTTATTTATTTAATTGTTTATTTATATCCCACCTTTACTTTCTTTAAATAAATCAAGCATATCTAAGACTCCTTTTTCCTCCTATTTTCCCCACAAGAACAACTCTGTGAGGTGGGTAGGACTAAGAGAGAATGACTGATCCAAAGTCACCCAAATTGAGCCTATGTGGAGCTGTGTCATTGAACCAATATTGTAGGACAAAACTGAAGTAAAAAAAAAAAAAGTTCAGGGATTGTCATCGAGTTGTTGAAATGGTTCATTAAATGGTTCATTAACAAAAGTAAAGTCGAGTTAAATTGCAGAAATTCTTAAGTGAAGTATGTCAAAACATGTTGAAATGAATGAGACATAATAGTGTACATGTTATATCCCATGTTTTTAGAAAAGAGTCAACGTATTTAAACATAAGATCAGTTGATCAGTTTTCAGTATTATTTACTGTATTAACATTGCATAGTTCAGATATTCATGTCATCATGTTAATATTTTGAGTATGCTGGAAAGGGAATTGAATTAGGCTGCCGTATGGGTCTTCCTTCCTTGTACTCTCACTAGATTAAAATGAGATTTAAGATCACAAAGACCAAAACCAGAACATGCCCTTTCAGTGTAATTATCTTTGATTCATTCATTATCCTAATTGCCAAGTTCTGAATTCTTCAATCACTAAACGGTGTTATTCAGACATTTCTCATTATCAAAAGTATATCAAGATATGTATAATTTCTGTTGTTTCTTTTTTTTCCTCTCCCCTCTGCATTCCAAATTACACTGTTGCTTCCATGGAAACTGAACATTGGAAATTGTGTGTCATGCCTGTTCTCATGAAGTCAGGGAGCTCCATATATTTTCACAAAATCCAGAAACAATCTGAATGTGGTTTCAAAGAGGAAACTTCTTCCTGATTTCTTTAAGGCTTAGTGAGATTTTTTGCAAATGCAAGTTTAGAATTAGAAGTCTTTTTGTTTTAAACAGGGATATAATCTGGAAAACCACCCAGGACTTTGCTATAAACTCATAGTGAATCAATACACAGTTTGTGAGTTTCGTAACTTTTTTTACATTTAGATTTTTATTCTGTATACTTTTTAACGACTGTACACCCCACCACTACCTCCTTCGGCTGCCTATGATTATAATAAGAAATGGATTTGTTTTGATTATTACGGTGGCTTTCAAATGATTTCACGCTGCAGAATCTGTTTGTTTAAAACAAACGAACAAAAAATCTTGGAAGCCTTGATTAACGGGGCGAGGCTTCTAAATGTTAGCTGAAAAGCTCTGCACTTTCCATTGTACTTAATAAAAATTGCAATAGATGTCCCTTTCTTGCCCTTAATAATATTTGTTAGCTGGAAACAGTGCTGCAAGATTTCTCCAGATTTTTTACTACTATAGAACAACAAGGGCAGTATTAAATTTGCCTACGTGGTGTGAAATTGAAGAACTATCATCCTCTGTCTATTCATGTATGTGTTCTGCTAATTTTTCTGCCTAGTTTTTCTACTCAATGGCTTTCACAATCTTTGCTTTGTATGTTGTATATGATTCTTGTTCTTTCTTTAGTTGTGTCTTTGGGTTTGTTTAAGATGGCATTTTGTTGGTTTATGGCTGCTATCGTGCCTGGTGGTTGACGTAATCTGCTGGTGATTTCTAAGACATTTTAATGTACTGGGAAATTATTTTTTTTCCCATTGTTGTGGTAGTTATATTCTACATGGCTGCATGGAATGGGGATTTTATGAAGTTCCATGGGTATCTATTACATTAAAAGATGCTGTGAAGGTAATTGTTGTCTGATCTCTAGAGTTCTAGGTGTTGGAAAAATAGTGAGATTAATTTGCAGTTTAGGTTCTACTCAATGAATTGCTAGTCTATCTACATATTTAGATCAGAATTAGTCACTCAGCTGGTTTTCGTGGCTAAAGCAGGAGTTGAACTCATGACCTCTTGGTTTCTAGCTTGGTGCTTTAACCCCTTGCCCTCCCTCTCAAAATCTCAGTGGGTAGATCTGTAACATTGTTAATCTCTAATAAATTATCATCAAGCTCATTGGTCAAAATAAGTATTAGAATCTGTTTTGTTTACCTTATTTACCCAGATTGTGTATATTAACATTCAGTTCTTGAATATTATGGCATAATATGCAAACAGACCATAGCCTTCACTTGCCTACCATTGCTGTTATGAGTTTCAAAAAGTTTCAAGAAGTTGTAGGTTTATGGAAAGCTGTAATTTCTTGGAAAAGCTGGTAATAATATTTCGGGGTTTTATCTGTTAAGGGTAAGCTGTATCTGAACAACATAGTGTGATACTCTAATTGATTTACAGATAAAAGAAGTAGACCTACGTTAACGCTGAAACTATCTTTTTAATGTTCATTTGTAGTTATCATCAAGGGATAGGGAAATAATATGTTTATATGCACATGTATCTCACACATATTCAGAAACCACAAGAGAGAGACTGATCAATAATTTTATTGCACAGCCTAATCCATGACTTTCGGTTGTGTTCTGTTAAGTAAACAGTCAGGTTTGCTGCCAAGTATTTTAGGAATTCTGACTTACATTTCCACAAATAGCATCAAATGTTCCTGAGAAAACAGAGCTGCTTAACTCATTCTTTGCATCAATCATCATGTAAAAAGAAACTATTGCCTAACCTACCAGAAACATAACAGTAAAAGTCAGGCTAGAAATAAAAATTAAACTAAGAAAGAAAATAGTAAGAGAACACCTGTCTGATCTTGAGGAGTTCAAATCACCAGGACCTGATGGATTACATCCCAGAGTTCTGAAGGAGCTGGCAGATGTTATCTCAGAATCATTAAACCATATATTTCAAGGATCCTGGAGCACCTGGGAATTATCTGAGGTTTGGAAAAGAGCTAATGTGATTCCCATCTTCAAAAAAAGGGGAAAAGATAGATCCAGGACATTACAAACCATCAACCTATTCATTATTTAATGAGTTAAATAATTCTTCTCTAACTAGTATTTCTTTAATAGGTTGAATTTATAATTTCCAGAGTTCACAACTATCACGGGTAGAAATTCTAAGAGTGCCAAGAGCCTACTATTTTCGAAGATAGCTAAATTGCGAAGTTTGCAGGAAAATGTAAAATATGGTGTATGTTTATATACATAAATGTTATGTAGGACTAATACTTTTAAAATAAAAAAACACTTATGCTTGCTTAAGACAGTTATAAAAATCATTTCAGATTTTAAGCACTCATAAGTTTAAAATTCAAGTAATTCAGTTTTTGGACCCAGTTTCTAGTTTCATAAACTTTGGGGAGAATGAATAATAGTACCTCATGTTCTTTTCTTGCCTCTTTTCAAGTGTACATCATAATTTAATATGATTATATCTAAAATGGGACTTGCAGTTTAATGTGGATTTTACCAACCATAATTCTACCTGCCAGAGGTTGGTTTAAAATTGTTATCAGTTAACCAACATTATGCTACAGTTTTCCAGTTTTAAATGAAAGAAATTAAGATATAGGAAGAAGCAATCTAGAAAGCCGTTTACACTTTTTAGATTGTCAAATCTATAGAAAAAGACTGAGTTTCTGTTCATTATTCATATTAGCATAGTATGATTCACTTTTAGCTTAATTAGCATTATGTATTCCTACAAGAAAACTTATATTCATCACAGTTATTTGAAAGTATTTTTATTATCTTTTCTACTTTCACACATTCATTCTTATAATATTTAAAACTTCTTTCACAAATCTACCTATTTCTGCTAATCCAAACCTTTTGGTATTTCTGGTCTCCTGACCACATCAGCAGAATTAATATTAGACTTCCTGTCGGCCAATTCAGTTCAGCTTGTATCCAGGTGTTTTCTATTGAAAACTGCTGTAACATATGAATAAATGGTTTTGCATTTTTCAACACAGCACTATTTACTTTTGCTAAAGGGTAAAATGCTTTTCATTCAACTTTTTTTTCACACGCAGGTGATAATATAAATCATGGTTTGTGTAATAGCTAAAAATCTGCTCAATCTTGGAAGAAGCCAAATATAGCAAAGAGAATCACTTTTAATATTTTTGTACAACAAATTTTATATACAAGCAACAAAAGATCTTACACAAATCTATAATTCCACTTTCCTTCAGCTTTTCAAATAAACTACAGTAATGATTAGTAAATGTTAAAGCAATAATTAATAATACTGTACAATGATATGGCTGAAATGTGAAGAAAGCATCGTGAAACATCAATTATTTTCTATCATAGCTCTCTGCTGGATGGAAATTTTGGCTTATTATCAATAAGCTATCTGCTCACACTTAATTTGCAGATTTTGGGCTGTGTGTAGCTGTTCTTTAAAATATGCCACTTACAGTAATTTTGGTGGTAGTGGCAAACAGCTGCTCAGTGGCCACTTTTGGTAATCAAATGGATAGCAAAACACAGCAATATTTTGATTGTATGTGTGTCTATGTATACATGTCTGTTTTAAACATGCATGCATATTAATACAGCTTTTTAAAGATCTGCACCAACTCCCAGTGAAACCATGTGGCAAAACAATAAATGATTTCCTTAGCATGTTGTTCATACTTAGGCTCAAGGTATTCTTTCTTTCTTCCCAAGTAATCTAGGATTCGTAAACTAGGAATTTAGATCTCTTAAAAGGAGTGACATGCAAACTTCTGGTAACAAATTATTCCTATTTTTTTTTTTTGTCAGTGTGAAAAACGAAATGAGTTTCTATTCCATAATATGACAGAATGAATCAGTACTAAATGATGACTAAATGAAGAAAAAAAAGACCAGGATAATGTAAAATAAATTGGCTGCAATGTACCTGCCTAATTACCTGCCTAATCTAGTAAAGTCAAATCTGTAATGGCCTTGTTTCTGTGTTTATTTCCATAATTTATACGTCGGGGATCTGGACAAATGTCATAAACTTCAATCTTCTCAAGCAGATTGCAGCATGATTTTTCCCCCCTTTCCTTTTTTTAGGACATTTCACAGTTTTATATAAACAAAGCTAATTTCAGTATGCTGAAAAGGAAACAGAGTTCTAGGGTAGAAGCCCAGCCTGTAACAGATTTTGGTCCTGATGAATCCTTATCAGACAATGCGGATATCCTGTGGATTAACAAACCAGTAAGTATGATATACTACCTTAACTTTCTTACCTTTGTATGATTAAGCTGTAATTAAGCGTTGTTAAGTTCCATTGATGTTGCTACAATCAATGGAAATTATGTACTTAAATTTCTCTCATGGGTAAACAAAAGTATGTGCTTACATGTCTGTTATTTGAATTCAGTGGATTTTGAAAACATACTTTGTTATTGGGAACAGCTAAATAAGAGTTTCTAATCCATAATATGACAGAATGAATCAATAGTAAATGATGACTAAATGAAGTACAAACATACAAACACACACACACACACACACATATATATATATGCACACACCATATATATCGTGTATATACCATGTGTGTGTATATATGTGTGTACCGTGTTTCCCCGAAAATAAGACCCTGTCTTATACTTTTTTGAACCCCGAAATAAGCGCTTGGCCTTATTTCCGGGGAGGTCTTATTTTGGGGTGCGTGAAGCAAGACGGCTCCTCTTGCTGTCTTACTTGATGTCCAGCTCTGTCTCCCTAACTCTAACCAGAGGAAATGACGTGGATAGACTGCCCATGCATTTAAATATTTTTGGGGAGAGATTATTTTCGGGGGGGGGCGGGTTATTTTAGCACATGCGCTCAAAAGCCCGATTGGGCTTATTATCAGGGGATATCTTATTTTCAGGAAACAGGGTATGTATGTATGTATGTATGTATGTATGTATGTATATGTATGTATGTATGTATATGTATATATGTGTGTATATGTATATATGTATGTACATATACACATATACATATACACACACACACGCATATATGTATACATACATACTGTGTATGTATGTATATATTATTTTACAGAATCTTATGTATATATACAAACATACATATGTGATAAATGATATCAGTTTCTTCTCTTAGAACTGCTGTTTATCTAGGGAAATTAATATATAAATAGAATTGAAGAAGAAGAATTAGGGATTGAAAGGGCCACTTTGCACAGCTCTAAATAAGGCCTTCATGAATTGCTTTTTGAACTTTTCCTTCATTTCTGGTATGAATAAACCATCCTATCCACATCCCTTCAGTGGCCAATTCAATTTTACTATTTACTATTTATTTTTTATTTTTTTTCAGTTCCTTTCCTTTTTTTATACTTTGCATAAATCCAGTCTAACAGGACAAAAGTATTCTGTTAAATTTAAAAATTAATCTGAAAAATTTTTTGAGTTCTGAGGAGTACTAAAGCTTTCTGTTAAAACGGAAATGTCATATTCTGTTAAAAGGGAAAAAACAAGAATACAAGCTCACTATGAAATTCACTAGTGAGAATATAGAAACCAACAAGAATCATGGATTATTGTAGCCACACACCATATTTGAAAGGGTTGTTTTAAAAAGAAAATCAAATAATACAACTGTTCAAAAAACAGAATAATACAATTAAATGGTTTTTTTTAAAAAAAACAAAAACAAAACCAAACGTTTGTATTTTTATTGGAGGACCCAAAATTTCCTGCCTGGACTGAGAGCCATGAGGCTGGGCAAGCAGGCAGCAATTTCAAGACTTTAAACAAATGAAAAATGGAATGAAATGCTGATTGTCCTAAACCACTGCAATGCAAATTATTCTAAATTTTATGCAGAGGGAAAGGGGAAACTGTCTCATCTACATGGTACCCTTTATGTAAATGGAACTTAGCAAAATACACAAACCCCCCCCAAAAAAGTGCTAGAAACACAAAATGAGCAAGAGTAACTATTTTAATTCCTCTTACAGCATATGTTATAATAGTAGATGTTTTTAGCCTTGAATATCTAAACATTTTTTTTTTGCATTCAAGATGTTATTTTAAACTGTTAGACATGAAACAACATTGAAAAGTATAGTTGTACGGGTTGATAAAAACTTTATTGCTGTTTTGTATTCCTCAGTGGGTGCATTCTTTACTCCGCATCTGTGCCATTATCAGTGTCATTTCGGTGTGCATGAATACCCCAAAGACCTTTGAGCATTATCCTCCCCTTCAGTATGTGACATTTGCTCTTGATACGTTGCTGATGTTTCTCTACACGGCAGAGATGATAGCAAAAATGCACATCCGTGGCATAGTCAAGGTAAGTCATTTTTAATTTGTTTTTTTAACAGAAACCAAAAAAAAAAAAAGACCTACATATCTTTTATACTCAGATACTGGACCCATTAACTGAAGTAAACTTTGCTGTGCTCTAAATGAACTCTCCAGATCATGTTATGTTCCTCTTCTGAAGATGTCTATTACACATAATACTCATTGTTTGTAAAATTAGCCTTCGGGACCATCTTATTATGTTTACTTTTTTTGCTTCTTCTCAAAAGACATTTCTTTCATTACATTGTTTAGCCTTATTTTATTTTTTTTACATGAAGGAGCCTGTATGTGTGTGAACGGGTATATGAGCATCAACTGTGGTCTTGCAAACGGCCAGGCTTTTGATCTCCCAATTCTTCCTCACTGAATCCAAATTTAAATTAAATTTAAATTAAATCCACATTTAGCACGGGCTGTTTGCAGATCTTGAATATCAAGATGGCATTTTTTTTTGTGCTTTATCTATTTTGTGACCAATAGCTGAGCATAATCGTCCAGCAGTCCGTGCTTTCCTGCTGTAATTCTCGATAGGCCCCAAATTGGGTGCCTTGTTCCTCTACCTCAAGTTCTGCTGACTCTGTCCCTGAACAAACTTTCTTTTGTGTTGTTCCTACATTGAAAAGAAATTGGTGATATTCCACTCTATTCTGTTCCAATCAGCTTTTTGTGAACAAATGTCCATGTCTGTTTTAAACACACACACACACACACACACACACACCCCAGTAGCTTGAAAGGAAGTTATGCAATGAGGAGGTCAGTTATTTAAAAAAAACCAAAACAAATAAATGCACTGAAACTTTTAAAAGGTTTACAGCCAGCATGGCAGCAGACATCCTTTCTTAGAAACTCTCGGGATTTTATATGCTGACAAACCAGCAATTTTGCGTTCCAACTTCTTCATCACACTACCATGTACAATGGCAGCCCTGAGCTAGGGGCAAGTTAAAAAGCCCCACCGGTGACAGCAGAGGCCATCTCTTGAATCACAAAGTAATGATATGTTACAGTTTTTGAGATGGCATTTGCTGAGCTGAAATGGATTTCCCTGTTAAGGATAAAATGGCAGTGGTACAAAATATAGATTGTAAATGCCCTACTTGTCATTTGATAGGGCAGGTGGGATGGAGTGTGTTTATGTTGTACCAGAGTTGGGACTGCACCAGAATCTGGAAGATCTCCATAACAGATGTCTTCAGATGCTATTTTGCATTATCTGTAATTGTAAAGATACATCAGCCTAGTTGATTATAGCTGATGACTTTGGAATCAATATAAGCCTTGAAAAGTTTTAAATACTGCTGTGAAAATTATAGAAGCCTTGTTAGACTTTAACATGGATAAACACTATTTTTTCCTTATCAAAGGTCTGTGTACCTCAGATAAAGAAAATCTGTAAGATACCCCAAATTTTGCATCAGTAAAAGGTTGATACTCTAACCTATGTAAATCATGCAGATTTCAGCCTTATTTTTTTTCCTCAGCGAGACAATACTTCTAGTCCTCTTGGGGTGGAATTCCATAAGTTGTGAGTGGTACGAAAATACATTGTGATTGTGATTATCCTGTTTAATGAATTCATTGCAATTCAGTCAAATGAATTCATTGCTTAGTATTTGGAGTATGTTTTGAACCAACCATAAAGTTGTGTAACCTCGTTTTTTTTAACATGACTTTCTTTTTCTTTTTGCTCTTGCTGCTGTCACGAAACATTATTGATTTAGATCTTGATGCATTGGATTTTTAACACAATTGCTGTCATAGGTTCTCAGCTGTACCAAAAAGTATAACATACTGTAACTATGTCAGTTGGCTTAATCAAGATTACACAGCTATATATTAGGCATAACCTATTCTTATCCCATCACAATGAATCCGAATGCAGAAGTAGGCTTCTAGGGAGACAAGTGATGTAAATGTTAATGTGCAAATCTAAATCTATTGCTCGGTTGTGGTTTCCCATAAAGTAGGATGCATGTTGAAGCCTTTAGCTATGTACCCTTTGGAATCCCCAGCAATAATTCAGCTTTCAGATAAAACTGGATATAGCTATACATTAGCACAAAAGGGCGATGGGATAAAAGATCTCAAGTATCTGGATATTTCTTCTTGTTATAAACATCAACATGCTTTTGTGGATCTCAAATCAGATCACTTTATGACAGTAACTTTCAACAGTCAGAGATGTAATATTTTGGCTTCCTGAAGGAGTTTCCCACCACTTACAGATGAAAGGAAAATGTGAAGCTGGGCCTTTATTTATGTTTCCTTATGTTTTCATTATGAATACTGTTACCATTGTGGAAAAGAACTATGTTGCAATTAAAAATTATCCAGTCAGAGGATAGTGTTTTTGTTTCTTTTTCTACTATTTGCTATTTTTCTTATTATATCTTTCATATAAAAACATACATGGGAGAAGAGAATGTATATGTTTTATAACTGTAACTTACTGAAATACAGTAGTTGTGAGTCAATATTTTTTTTAAAAAAATAGAATAAACTGGAGATAAATAAGAGCTTTTATAGGTAGGAGCTTCATCTCTGGGGACAAACAACTCATTTTAACCCGTAACATACTAAAACTATGGAAAAAAGACTTGGCTATTTGAGCCCTTTGCATTGCCAAGTTCTTCCCTGCAATATAAAAGAAATGAAGAGGCCCACTTAACTTATTGATGGGCATTTAACATTTATAATAAAAATAAACCAAGCCTTTCACAAAATTTATTGTGGAACTAAAAAGAGTAAAAGCTTATATATAAACTCAACACTTTTATTTTTAAGGAGATCCATTTGAGTTTGTCCTTGGACTACCATTGAAAATAGTTCAGCAACACCTTTACATTACATGCATAAATAAGTATATATCTTCTTTTATATTGAACCTCCAGAGCATTCTTAGAGTGGGTGTCTCCAAAGTGTATTTTTTAAGGGTGTTCAGGGTTAAAATGGATAGCTTCTTTTCTCCCATGTGCAAAATGAATTTCTTATTTCCCTTTCACTTGAAAATGCTTCTTGTTTTCACTCACAGCTCTTCCTCCCACTTGTTAGCTATGTAAGATTTTTTTCAGCACTGATCTTTTCTTTCCCATCCTAAATAAACCGGCTAAAACATAGTCAGAATTCAGCTAAGGGATTTGTTTTCGAAGGAAAAGGATCCAGCACTGTCACAGTTGGCCCTAGCTAGGATGGTTCATGATTGGAATTGCAGCCCAACATCTCCAGAAGGTGCCATGGGGGAGGGGGGGGAAGGATTGCAATTTGGTATACAAGGTGAAATGCAAAAAATTAAATGAATGAGAAGTCAAAAGAAATGATTGTGGGTTATTTTCAAAGGAGGCAAGGAAAACTTGCACAGACTAATGTCTCTGTAATATAGCTCACATGAACATTTTGAATTTTAGGGCATAAAGAGCCTGGACCTAATAAACCAGAGATTAAAAGTTTCTTAAACCTAGACCTGGATCTCTCAGACCTGGGATAGTTGAAGAAGCCAGTCATGAGAAGGAAGTGAGATGATTGGGGTGAGACCATTTAATGGAGGGGAATAGATTTTTAACTGTGCATATAATCTCTGGGGAAGAAAGCATTCCCATTTCTACTGTTAACTCCCACCCTCTCCTCCATTAGTAAAATCACCCATTGACATTTGATAGTAAAATGGCAAGATTTCAGCATTCATTTTTCAGGTTATTGGAGTCTTGGGGATGGGCTTATAGCTGAAAAGTCATTTTCATTTGCCTCCTATAGATTTCTTCCCATTTCCACCCTTATATTGAAGGGAGGAAGAATCAACACAACTGTGCCACCAAAAAACCATCCATTCTGCAGTCAGATTGCAGTTTCATAAATTCAGGGTGTTGGAGGAAACTATAGGACACCCTGCTATAGAATGATACGGTTGGTACTTAGTCCTTCATCGATCAAGTCTTTAATATGTGCATTAACATTAGGATTTACTGGTTCCTGGGCTATCCTGCAATCCCTAGGGCAATAAGAACTCGGAGTTATTTGAAAGTTGGTCTGATTGGGTGGGAGAACTTCATTTGGCTATAGAAAAACAGACAACCTGGTCTAAATGCAGACATAATAGAAAATTATGGGAAAGGGAAGGGTAGGGCAATAGAATTCTGTTTTGTTTTACAGGAAAACCCTGGCAAACACACAGGCCTTTATGTTTTCAACATCTGTATTGCATTTTCAGATTTAGGCAAGCTGCCTGAGGCTGCCTGAGGATAAAAATGGGAAAGTCAGGGCAGGCAAGAGGGGCAATCCCATGAATACTCTTCCTTTGCAAGAAAAAAACAAACAAATAAATGCATCCATTTTTATAGGAGTCTGTGCAGACACTTGAGTCCTCTGTGGATTCCAGGAATCACATAGCAAAGACTAACTGGTAAGAGAGTTAATAAACTTGGACAGCTTCTGTTCCTATAGCTAGTGTTGGCAGTTCTGTTCTGACTAAGAGGCCCGACAGTTCTTCCAGTTGAGTCTATTTCTATTTCCCCTCCCCTTTCCTCTCTGTCTTATTCTAATTCCACTTGCAAAAGTGGCCTCTCCGGAGATTCCCTTTCCAAAGCTTGCTGCTTCCTTAATGCTTATTTTCCCCAGCTACATAGGTAATAAGGAAGGCCAAGATATCAAAGACTATATGAAATCATTGCAGAGACTGGGAGGAAAAAAAGATGAAGCAAGCTTAAAATAGCATTAAATCTGGCCATAAGTAGCTACATATTAAGGAATAAAGTGTCCTAAACACTTCACAACCTGGAAATATTCTCTTTTCCTTTGCTATTCCCATGGGAAGATTATTCAGTTTAACCATCTGTTAAAAAACAAATTCTTTCAGAATAAGAACATACTTTTCCTCCCACTGGCTTATTTGCTTAAAGATGCCAACATGGTTGGTTCAACTGCAGCATTGTTTCTTTTCTATTTCTTTCCATTTAAGAAAAAGAGGGTGATATTTAATAAATAAAAGAA